CACCAATAATTATTTTGGGAGGAATTTATAGGATGCCTGGTGGCAGTAGAAAAAGGAGGATAACATAGGCACATGCATAACTGCATACCCCAGACTACAACACATGTTCCTCCAAAGAAATGCATGGGTCAGTTCCACTTCATTCTTTAGGTCTTAATTTAAGTAGCGTTGTTCCAGGAAGCCTTCTCTGTAGCAAGGAAAGAGTCCCAGTTCTGTGTTTCACTGTTCCCATTCCACTGCATCAATGCACTTCTCCCTCTCTTGATTAATGATTCATCTTCCTAGATCACTATCAGCTCTAAGAACACACTAGCTGGTCTCTTTTGGTCACCAGTGAATCCACAGAGCAGGAAGTGTGTGTACGGGATACCTGTCAGCCAGGGAGATGCTACCTTCTCTGCACAATGTGCATCTCACTAACATCTCTGTACCATGTGCATATCACTAACAATGCAAATGGTACTCTGTGTTAGGGGCTTTCTCTCGCCCAGGAGAAAGTGGAAGGCTGAAAGTATTAATATCTATCAGGAAGGGCTTGACTAGGAAAAAAGTAGCATATTTATATGACTAGCAGTGAAAAGGAATACTCCAAATTCCTGCTTATCAATATTGATAGAGTTAAACAATTCATGTAAAAATGAAGTGAGTAACAAGTATAGCATGATTGCATTTTTTGGTTTGTGTTTATTTGTTTTCTTGAGACAAGGCCTCACTAGGTATTCAAGGCTGGCCTTAAGTTCACTGTGTATTCCAGACTGGCCTCTTGAACTTGTGGCCATCGTTCTGCCTCAGCCTCCCAAGTGCTGGAATTACAAATGTTCACCACCACACCTGGCTCTGCTTTAAACAAAAACAAAAATGCACACTGAAGGGACACTGTTTCCCAGTGTGTACACATGTACATATGCAAAACTCTATCCTATGAATTTGAAAGAACAATACAAAACAGGACCACACTACTGCCTCTCTTTCAGGGTCCACCCAATGGTGTAGCACAGTAGGTGCTCAGTAAATATGTGCTGTGTGACTGGCAGCACCTGGTGACTAGTGAGACTTTGTTTCTGGTGAGGCAAAGATTCTTTTCTTGGCTTGCAGACTGTCCTCTTCTGGGCCATCCTCTTCTTGATATAGCCTCACATTAAAGAGAAAAGATGAGTTCGAGTCTCTTCCTCTTATAAATAGGACACTACTTTCACCACGGAAGTCTCGATTGATCTCCATTGTCTCAACCTGATCACACCTCAAACTCCTTGCCTCTAAGTAACATCACATTGGAGGTGAAGGCTTCAACATATGAATTTATATGGGGTCAGAAACATCCACAACCTTCTGATGCTGGCACTAAAAATGCATATCCTTCTAGCATCCAAAATACATTCATTCCACTCCAATAACTCTCAAGGTTTTAATGCTAACTCTAAAGTCTGAAGTCTTATCTAGATATCATCTAAACCAGATATAGGTGAGATGCCAGGTATAACTCTGTCCTGAGGCAACTGCTCTCACTACCAAAGTTTTGTACTTCGAAAGTACAATGGAGGAACAAGCAGAAGATAGACATTTCCTCCCAAGATGGGAAGACTGGAAGCAGGAAAGTGATAATGAATTCAAATTAGTACCCAAACCCAGCAAAGCAAATATCATTACACCTTAAAACTACAGCATAATCATCTTTGTTTGGATGCTTCTGGAGCTCTGCTACCGGGTGGTCCAGTGTCTGCAGACGTTCAGGACAGATGCTGGCTTTGCTGAAACTGAAGCAATGTCCCTCTCCTGCGCTCTCCCATGAACTGAGGAGTAAGCCCTGATGCTCTCTGAACAAGTGATTGGACTCAGATGAGGTCAGTTAGTGCATGCTTACTGCTGAATAGCTCTATGGTCCAGTCCTGAAGGATCTAGGAAGTCTGCATTCTTTCTTCATTTTGAACTGTCTCCAACCCCTTTTGTTCAAATTGGCAGTGTTCCCATTGGGCTGGTTGACTAGTTCACACCTACACTAATCTTATCAAATGGTTGTTTGTCGCACCAGTGGAGTTCTCTTTGGAACATGTTTTTTTTTGTTTTGTTTTGTTTTTTTCAATATAAGCAGGGTAGAATTTTCCAAATCTTTAAATTCTGATTTTTTTTATTGCTTAATAACCCTTTACACTCCTCACCCTAAGAAGAATCTGCCCTTTAACATTTTGCTTAGAAATCTCCTCTATTAAATATCCAATTTCATCACTTGCAAATCCTACTGTCCACAAAACACCAGAATACAACATGATTCTCTTTTATAACAAGAATTGCTTTTTTAGGGCCGGGGATTTAACGCAACGGCATAAGTGCCTGCTTGGCAAACTCGAGGTTGTGAGTTCAATCCCCGGTACCAAAAACAAAAAGAATTGCTTTTTTCTTTCTCCATTACCAATAACATGCTCCTTGCTCCTACTTAAGACTTCGTCAGAACTGCATTGAGCATTCATATTCCTGGAATGCATCTCAAAACTACTCCAATCTCTTCCCATTGGCCAATTCCAAAGCTTCTTCCACAGGGTTCTGCATTTACTAGAGTGGTGACCCACTTTTCAGTACCAATTTTTGTCTTACTTAGGGCTACTATAACAAAATAGGGAGGGCAGCTTAAACAGCAGGTATTTATTTCTTACAGTTTTGAAAACTGGGCAGAGCAAGGTCAAAGTGCCAGCAGATTCATTTTTTAGTGAGAATTCTCTTCCTAATTTGCTAAACTGCTTTCTATGTTTTCACAAAGAGGGAAGGAGACCTTTGGCCTCTCTCCTCCTCATCCTCCTCCTGCTCCTCCTCATTTATTTACTTATTTATTTATTGCAGTACCAAAATTTGAACCCAGGGTCTTCACACTGTGCTACATCCCCAGCTATTCTTTAAAATATATTTTTATTTTGAGACAGAGTTTTGCTAAGTCTGTGTCTATATTTCTTGGCATGCTTCAACACAGATTTGAGTATAAATTAGGCATATCAGACTTTCTGGAACAAAGCTTTGGACAGAGGTTGAGGAGCCAGAAAAGGAAGGGAGCTGGTAAGAGGAAGGAGGCCCTCTTTGTACTATTAAGGCTGGCCTTAAGTACAGGCCACATCTGGGTGAGTACACACACATGCAACATCTTTGAAGGGGCAGCTCCTGCTGGCACTGGCTAACTGCTAGAGACTCAGAGTGGAAAGAGAGTGCTTGTCTTCCTAGTGCTTAGAGCTGTGTAGGAGACAATGAGTACATGCAAACTTTGATTGTGCATTAGATTTTGTATAGGCTGTTCTGTATGAGACGCCTTGTGTTCCCTCTGTCCCATTGGGGTGCTCCTACCACTGTTAAAATCAGGTAGATTAGCTCCTTTTGGAGGTTTGCTCTGGTTTCACAAGTCAGAGCTGAGCATTCCTAAGAGCCTGGCACTTGTGTTTGCTTGTCTGTACCCCTGAGAGAGCCTAAGCTTCCTGAGCACAAAACTGAACTATAATGGTATCCCCAGTACCCACTGTGGCTCATTTCCTGTAAGGAGAAGGTGAAGGAGGGGACAGCTGGCCTCTCTAATAACATGGAAGACTGATGATTGGAAACAATTAACAGGGCTTGAAAAATAATAGAAAAGGTAACCGCAAAGCCAGACACTTATCTACTGGACTAAAAGCTGGTTACTTCTGGCTCCATGGCTGCCAGAGGAACATATTTACCATTCATATTGAGCTCTCCTCACAAAGCCTTACACACTCATAGGTGAGGCATTGGGGAGGTGACTGGACCCTGGGGGTGTGATACTCATCAGTGGATGAGCACACTGATGAGTTTATAGATAAATGTGATATTGGGAGGTGAAGCCTGGTTGGAGGAGGTGTGGGTCCTGGGGTCCTGGCCTGGAAGATTCTATCTCCCTCCTGCTTCCTGGATCTCTCTCTATCATGCCATGAGCAGTTTCGTCTCCATCATGCCCCACAGACATGTTGCCCTGCCTTAGAGTCCACCATCTATGGATAGAAACCTCTGCAAACCATAAGCCAAAATAACCTGTCTTCCTTTAAATAGTGAGTGTCAGGTATGGTGACTTAGCCCTGAGAAAGTACCTAGCACAATGCCTCATTCCACTTTCACTGGGGCTCCGGGAAATGCAAGCTCTAGCCAGAGGAGTTTGAACCCTGCTTTCACCACTGACTACTTAGTAATCTTGTGCAAATAACCCAGCCTTTCCCTGCTTCAGTTTTGTTGTGAAATAAACCTAAGAGTAACACTCACTCTATTATGTTGTCCTGATGATAGTCCAAACACCGTAAACACTTAAGTGCTTACTGCATGCTTTTTCTTACTACAGGTCCTTCCCCCTACCGTGGCCCCGTCTTGCTCCTCTCTAAACCGCAGTTCACTGTAAAATGGAAACCATACAATGGAAAAATAGTAATTATAGTGATTGAATGAGAAAGTAAAACTGCGTTATTAGCCAGTTTGTGTTCCTGGAATTTGTAGGATAGGCAGCATTTCCAGACTTGTGAGGCTATGGATTCTGGAGCTGGTCCACTCGCAGTGATCTACTCTCTGCATTATGCTGACCCTTTCTGGCACCAGTACCAACCCAGTCTCCAGGACCCTTTCCCTCTAGACCAGGCTCCGTGGGTTCCTCTGAATGGTCGCACAGGCCTGTAGGACGCCCTGATGACCCAGGAAGCGCACAGAAGGGTGGAAAGGTCCTCATAGTAGCAGACCGGGTGCTTGCACCTTTAGGAGCAGCAATTTGCTTATTCCAGGAAAGAAATTTAAAGCTGTAGTAAAGTAGGCGTCCACCAAAGAGGGAGCCGGTTATCTCTGGGCTGGCTTCCAGGTCTGATAACTGGGAGGGAGGGAGCCACGGTCTGCCCTGCCGCTCGAGGCCGCGCCCAGCCCAGCCCAGCCCAGCCCAGCCCGCGAGGAAGCAGCGTGGAGCCCACGGCCCCGGCTCCCCGCGCCTCCCCCGACAAGGCGCCCCCCGCAGCCGCGCCCCCCTCACCCCAGCTTACTCTGCAGACTGCGGGCTGCGGCCAGGCACAAGGCGAGGAGCCCCAGGGAGAAGCCGCGGGTCTTCCTTCCCCCGCGCGGCTGAGGCCTCATGAGCGAGCCCCGGGTGGCGCGGGCCCGTGGGGATGGGCGGCGCTCGCCGCGCGCCGCTGCAGCTCCTCCCGGAGCCCTGGTGCAGCGCCTAGAGCTGCGCGGTTCTCCAGGACCACTGCGGATGAGTGGGTTGCACTCTGGTTGAACCAGTTCCTAAGAAGGGAGGGAGAAAAGAAGGAAAGGTGGGGGGGGGGAGGGAGAGAGAGAGAGAGAGAGAGAGAGAGAGAGAGAGAGAGAGAGAGAGAAAGAGAGAGAGAGAGAATATGAATATGGGAAGGTATGGGAGGAATGAGAAAGCATACTCAATGGCAAATAATGAGCAGTCTCCTGACGTTCACACCCACTTTATTGCTATTGATTCAACAATCAGCTGGATGCTGGGTGGCTGGAGGGAGGGCGAGTAATAGCTGTGACTGAGCTGAGGACGGAAAGGGACCATCTGATGGCTCCATGGAAGAAAAGCCTCTAGTTAAATTTTTGTCTCACTATGCAGTTCAGGCTGGCCTTGCACTCACTTTGTAGCTCAGGCTGGTCTCAAATTCTACCTCCCAAATGCGTGGATTATAGGCCTGCCTCTTAAGCAAATGAAATAACAGCTCATGGTGAGGGGAGACAAACAGAAGACTCTGGCAGAGTGGAGCCACTGGACAGTGCTAGTCTCCTTCCATCCATCCAGGAAATGTCCACTGTCCAGCTACTTAGTGCCATAAGACGTGGGACCGTGGTCTGTACTCCCAGAGAACACCAATGGAACCAAAGCTGGGCACCGTGCTAAGTGCCAGAGACATAAGGCTAATACAGTCACTTCTTTAGAAAATTTAGCAAGGAGAGGGGTCTGGGGGAAAACCAGCATCTGCTGTGGGGTTGTACATTGTGTATGAAAGGGAGACCTAGGGAGATGTATATAGGGCTCAGAGCAAGAGTGACCTTGAGGAGGGGTATGTGTGAGTGAGTGGAAGAGAGATTAGTATTGGAAGAAGTAGGTGAAATTCTATTCTACTTGGTCGGTATTGGATTTCCTAGCCTCTCTTGCAGCTACAGGGCAGCAGTGTGAGCCAGTGCTGGCCAGTGATGTTTAAGGTGAAGCTTTCTTAGGGTTGTTCTAGAAAAGTTCTTTTCCTGATAAAATCCAGGGGACAGATAAGGCTGGAACCATCCTTTCTCTTTTCTTCTTGCTTTGAAAACATCCTTTCTTTGGGTCTTGAACAGCCTCATATACAGGCTCTGTGCCAATAGTCCAAAATTAGAAGGTACCCAGATTTGCAGAATTCAGCCTTTCTCAGAAGGAACCAAACTGTTGTTTGGTAGTAGGATCCCTGAGATCACAGGCTGGATCTGGTCCCTGGACAGCTTTCATTCCCTGAGTATAAGGATATCCCAAGTATTAGATTTACTGAAGGGCTATGTGAGCTTTTCCCTTTAGACTTTATATCCCTTCTTAGCTATAAAATTGCAGGTTTGTTTAGTTCCTAAATTGATCTGCAGGTTAGAATATAATCTATATACTTAGGACAGTTCTCTGTTTAAGATCTACATTCCTTAAATCCTTTTCCAATGTTAGGCAAAAAGGTGAGGGCTAGTTCTAAAGTCCAGTGGAAAAATGACCCAGTATATTTTGTTTTTCCTAATGGGATTTTCCATTCAAAAGCAAGCAGAAACTGGGGATCTAGAAGGAGGGAACTAGAAAAGAAAGACCCAATTTGTGTCTCCTAGAATTTAGGAGAAGATTTTATATGGATCTGCTGCCAGAGGGTATAGTGGAATTACAGCTTGTTAATGAGGCAGAGGTTTTATACCATCCCATAATTTCCTGAAGGTTTTATTACAGAGAGAATAGAAATGTTGCAAAAGGACTCGCAAGGGCCCATAAGGCCACATTTGAGAAACCTGTCTGTGAGAAGCTGGAGGTTTTCACAGGCCTTTTTGTGTATTGTTTTGTTAGGGAAATTGACTAGGATCTTCTAGGTTTGAAGGTCTGGCATTACTAAATTTGCCCTCCTACGTATTCCATTATATCATGTGACAGAATCTACCTATCGTGTAATTAGGTCAGGGAGATCTGGCACGGTCTCCCTACTTTTGCCTTTGCTGGAATTCAAGAATCTCTTCCTAAAAAAAGAATAGGACACAGTAGGACAACTAAAAACTCATGACTGAACATGTGGCCTTTGAACTGATATATCAGAGCAAGTATAAAAAGCTCAGACTACGGGTTCCCTTAGTTCCAATTATAGCTGAAGATCTAAAGGAGGGTTTTCTAGAGAAGGAAGTTAAAACAGAGTAAACTGCCCCTTTATGGCCATGCAATTGAATTTGCTTATTCATGTCTAGGGTCATCTAGAGTTCTTCATAGGAGATGGAGGTACCCGTGGACAGGGACTGCAGATTTTCCTGGGGCCCTTCAGTCCTTCTCATCACAGTGTGAGGTGAAGGTTTGGCTGGCCTAACCCCTCTCTGGGGTGGAGATAGTCAATTCTCCAATGCCACGAATCAGGTATATCACATCCTGACACATGAACCGGGTGCTGGTCAGCAGCTTGCTAGTGCTGTGCCCAGCGTTCGGTTTCCTTGCACTTAAAATGGGAACTGTTTCCCTGATTGACCTTGGGTTTTCTCTTGGCTGACTTGGGTGTGCCTAAAACATTGCCAACTTAACAGCCATAAGTTTGCCCTGTTTTTTATTGGGAGCTTTTTTTTCTTTCATCGTCATCCAGGTCCTGATTGTTGAACACAGAAATAGCTGTGCTTCAACTGGGCTACAGGGGTCTGAGAGCCCATTTGAAATTTTTGTAATTTGTACTAAATATCTGGGGCTGACTGACTAATGAAATGCTGTTCTATCAGTGGCTGTCCCTCCTTTTAAGATGGACTTGGAGGACCTAGGTTTGTATGTGTATGGGGAGCTTCTACGACCTGGCTATGAAAGATAGCTGCAGCATATTATTCATCTGTATATCTCCTACCCCTTTCTAGGATTCTTTGTTTTTCATCTGGGATACAGTATATGGCTAAGTTGGATATCTCACCACAAGAGGTAAAACGTAAGGTTCAAAGTCTGAAACCCACCTGCAAACTTCCCAGGATCTTCTGAAAATCAGCCTAACCATCCTTTGCATTGTTGTGTATTTGCCACTGAAAAAGGAACCTGGACCCAGTACAGCAAGCCCGCAGCAATCCCTTCTACTCCTGGGACTCTTTTAGAGGCAGGATGAGCTGTGAGGTGGAAAAGTAAAGGACTTCACTCTGAGTAAGTTCTGTGGAACTAAGAACTATCTGGGGAGCATCTGTTGGGGTTGGGATACACTGGGTTTCTCCAGGGAACTAGTCTTGGGGGAGTTCCAGGCATTTGAAGAGGATGGGACTGATTTGTTGGCCTAAGGATTACAGGAGGAGTTTGAGGAGAACACCCAGGAAGATAACTCTTCTTAAATAATTAGGAGAGACTCATTTGAGGACAAGATCATTAATGATATCAACTTCCTCTTCCTAGGAGGGCTCTTGAAGTATCATAGTTCTTGGCCTTTCTAGAGATAAAGAGCCACAAAAACAAGAATATTGGGACTGGGGATTTGGCTCAGCTGCACAAGCACCTGCCTGGCAAGCACGAGGTTGTGAGTTCAATCCCCGGTACCAAACAAAAAAAAAAAAAAAACAGAGCAAAAAAACTGGAACACTAGGAATTTTATACCACTTTCCTTGCCTTTTGCCAGAAAGATCTAACTGAAGACTAACAGTGTAATTTAAACTGCCATTTCTTGTCAGCCTCTCCCTATTTCTTAGTTCATGCTGGACCCAAACAGTACTGCAATAGAAGATAAGTTAAGTTGCTCTTTTTTTCTGATTGTCAAGATCAAATTTTTCCCAGTTTTCAAGGATATAGTTTAATGGTGAGGTTGTTGGGATTTGCAGGGTATTTCCCATGGCACATTTTGGGGCCTATAAAAAGAGAGAGAAAGAGGGAGAGAGAGAGAGAGAGAGACAGAGACAGAGACAGAGACAGAGATAGACAGACAGAGACAGAGACAGACAGAGACAGAGACAGAGACAGACAGACAGACAGAGACAGAGACAGAGAGAGAGAGAGAGAGGCGAAGTCTGGGATCCTCGGAGATGATCTTGTCCAGAAGGATGCCCATCTGTTGACGGCCCAGGACATCCCCTGTGAGACTCCAATGCAGTACCAGAAGTCTGGTGAATTGAGCTGCACTGTGCTATTTTCTTCAGCCTGTGCACAGTCTGTGACCCACTGTAACTCCTTAGAGACCAGGGTGGGGCCCCATCTAGCCATCTGAGAAACACTATGCCGCCCATTCTTGCAATAATAAAAACTTTGGTAATTACTTGGTTTAAGCAATAGAGTCAGAAAACTTCTCCAGCATTTAAGAGAAAGTAAGAAGAGACTTGGAAAGCTTTAAGGATAGGGTTTGTTATCTATTAACTCTAGCTCCACTTTTACTTGCTCACAGCCCATTGAGCTGACCTTCACTGGTGGTTCATTTTGTCCCGCTCAAGCCCTCAGGCACATGTTTCTAAATTACCTGGCTTTGTGCTACAAGAAGCAGCAAGGAGAACTAACTTGATTTAGAATAGGAGATAGGTCCCATATGTTCTCTGAAACTGGAGGCTTCTTGGTTCTTACCTATGATGGCAAAAATGTATGATTGTCCATGAGGTCAGTCGAAAAAGGAAAATGGTGAACAAACACAAGCAAACCATGTGACTGACCCACATGATACACCAAAATGATTGACAAGCATGGGGAAAAGGTGGGCCAGGATGGCTCCCTGAGGCTTTAAAAAACAGCCTGAGAAAGCAAGTCACTGAGATAAGAGGCCACCCAGGAGAAAAGTGCAGATGAGATTTTGAGCACAGAAAGGGCAGGCTTAGCAAGGCAGCTATTCAAGCAGGCTCCCAGGAGTGGGCAACCTGAGCAAAGTACTGGGCACACAAAGGAATACAAAGTTCCAGTTTATACACTTGGAACCTGAACGGTCCATTTCAATGGCTGGGTTAAAGACAGACTGTCTGGCAGCCCCCAACCC